GCCCCTCTGCCTTCCTCTCGTCATCGTGCACCTCCTCTCCTCTCCTCCTCTCCTCCTCCTCCCCTTCGCGCCCCCTCTCCTCCACCTCTCCTCCTCCTCCTCCTCCTCCTCCCTCCTCCTCCCCTCCTCCAACCTCTCCTCCTCCTCGCCCCTCTCCTCCTGCCTCCTCTCCTCCTCCTCCTCCTCCCCCCTCCTCCCCCTCCTTCCACCTCTTCCCTCCTCCTCCCCTCGCCCCATCTCCTCCTCCTCCTCCTGCCTCTCCTCCCCCCCCTCCTCCTCCCCTCCTCCTCCTCCTCCTCCTCCTCCCCATCGCCCCTCCTCCACCTCCTCCTCCTCCTCCTCCTCCTCCTCTCCCTCCCCTCGCCCCTCTCCTCCACTCCTTCCTCCTCCTCCTCCTCCTCCTCCTCCTCGTGGTCATCGTGCACCTGTTCCCTGCACTGGTGCCACTGTCCAGTTAAGCACAATTGCTCTCTTCCTCCTTGTTGACTCGCTCATATATGAACCCTTTCCTACTTCCTTATTATCACTATTGTGCTATGCCTTCATTCGTGTATACAGCCTATGCTACTCTCTGCCTCTCTCTCTCTCTCTCTCTTTCTCTTTTCTCTCTCTCTCTGTCTCTTCTTGTCTTTCTTCTCTCTCTTCTCTCTCTCTCTCTCTCCTCTCTCTCTCTCTCTTCTCTCTCTCTCTCCCTCTCTCTCTCTCTCTTCTCTCTACTCCTCTCTCTGTCTCTTCTCTCTCTCTCTTTCTCTCTTCTTCTTCTCTTCTCTCTCCTCTGCTCGTCATCTCCTCTTCCTCCTCTCTCTTTCCCATCTCTCTCTATCTTCCTGCTCGCTCTTCGCTTCTCTCCTCTCTCTCCTTTTTCTCTCTCTCTCTCTCTCTTCTCCTCCTACCTCCTCTCTTCTTCTCTTCTCTCAGTTCTTCTGTCTCTGACCTCCGTGTTCTACCCTTTCTCTTTTTCTCTCTCTCTCTCTCTTTTCATCCTCTCCCCTGTCCTGTCTGTTTTAGGTTCTTGTTTTTGTTCTCTTCTGTCTCTGTCTGTCCTCTGTCTCCTCTCTCTCTCTCTATCTTTCTTCTTACTCTCTTCTTTCACCCCACCTTCTCTTCTCTTCTCTCTCTCACTCTCTCTCTCTCTCTCATCTCTCTTTCTCTCTCTCTCTCTCTCTTCTCTCTCTCTCTCTCTCTCTTCTCCTCTCTCTCTCTCTCTCTCTCTCTCTCTCTCTCTCTCTCTCTCTCTCTCTCTCTCTCTCTCTCCTCCCTCTCACCCTCCCTTCTCTCTCTCTCTCTCTCTCCTCCTCTCTCTCTCTCTATCTATCCCTATCTATCTATCTATCTATCATCAATCTCCCTCATTCTCTCTTCTTTTCTCTCTTCTCTCTTTGCCTCCTTTTCTCCTTAAGTGTGTACGATATATTTCATAGTGTGTCAGTGTGTGTAGCGAGTGTAGACAAACATATACAGCATTTGTCTGCTTTCACATACAGTGTCAACGTTTTATTTATTAAGTTCTGTGTGTGTATATTGACCGTGTTTATTGCACCATTAATGCCATTATCATAATTGTTTTTTCATCTCATTCTTGATATACTGTTAAGATTGTTACCATTATTATTACTGTTCTACTATTACTATCATTCTTCTTATTCTTGTGTCATTATTTGTCCAGGTGAAATAGGGGATAAAATAAAAGTAATGCAGTGTTATCATTTGTAAGAGAGAAATGGGAGAAAAACAGTATTGATTATATTCATCATTATCATTATTTTTGTCATTGTTGCTTCGTTATTGTTATTGTATTGTATTGTTATGATGG